ATATATATATAGATAGAGATAGATAGGATACAGGCAGAGATAGATAGATAGATAGATAGATAGATAGATAGATAGATAGATAGATAGATAGATAGAAGCAGACATATGGAGGTGATATACAGGCGCAGTGATACGAGGTTAACGAGATAAAATATAGAAATGGATTGACGTAGACAGACGCAGCGAGGGAAAGATAGATAGATACTTAGACTAAAGGGAGAAAGACTTATAGATGCGATAGACACTGTGGAAGAGATATAGAAACAAATGATAGATAGATAGATAGATAGATAGATAGATAGATAGATAGATATGGACCGACTGAGATAGATAGATAGATAGATAGATAGATAGATAGATAGATAGATAGATAGATAGATAGATAGATATGGACCGACTGAGATAGATAGATAGATAGATAGATAGATAGATAGATAGATAGATAGATATGGACCGACTGAGATAGATAGATAGATAGATAGATAGATAGATAGATAGATAGATAGATAGATAGATAGATATGGACCGACTGAGATAGATAGATAGATAGATAGATAGATAGATAGATAGATAGATAGATAGATATGCACCGACTGAGATAGATAGATAGATAGATAGATATGGACCGACTGAGATAGATAGAAAGATAGATAGATAGATATGGACCGACTGAGATAGATAGATAGATAGATAGATAGATAGATAGATAGATAATGAACAGTAATAGCTAGCTAAATAGATAGATAGATAGATAATGAACAGTAATAGCTAGCTAAATCGATAGATAGATAGATAATGAACAGTAATAGCTAGCTAAATAGATAGATAGATAGATAGATAGATAGATAGATAATGAACAGTAATAGCTAGCTAAGTAGATAGATAGATAGATAGATAGATAGATAGATAGATAGATAGATAGATAGATAGATAATGAACAGTAATAGCTAGCTAAGTAGATAGATAGATAGATAGATAGATAGATAGATAGATAGATAGATAGATAGATAGATAGATAGATAGATAGATAGAAAGAAAGAACCAGGCTGAAAATGTTACAGAGTGTGTATATAAATTCTAAAAGAAACTGAGTGTTCATTGTCACTGGAGATGTTCACAAACATGACCCATAATATAACTTCTTACAATTCATGCAGGTTACATTCTTCGCGTAGTGAGAAGTTTCAACCTCATCCAACATATTCAGGTAAACTCCAATGTTCCTTCTTTATGAAGTATGTCTACATATCGTCATTAATTAATTCATTTTATTCAAATATACATGTCCTCAATTCCCAACTCGATATTTATGTATATGACACTAGTATTTACTATTATCGTAATGGCACACACGACAGCTCCGTCAAAGTAAACCTGATCCTGAAAAGGACCTGTAATCAGTGGTTAACTGGAGCAAGAAATAGCTTTTAATTTTTAACCACTCCAATGCAAAACAGCTTTCATTTAATCGCCACAGGGGAAACTTTTCTTCTTGCCATCAGCATGGCTAATGCTAAATTGAAAAAGGGTAAAACTGCGCTTGAATTCGCATTTATCACTGACATGAAGTGGAGGGATTATATTGAATCAGTTGTTATGTCTTTGGTTGTTATGTATTTGGAACATTCGGTCACTGTGTTGTCTCAGTTAAATTTTCTAGTCAGAATCCATCTTGCGCGTCTATAAATTAATCATTTCTTCGTGCATTGAATATTGCTGTCATATCTGGTCTGTTGCTCATGGTCAATATCTGGAGATTCTTGACAAAATTCAAACGTCATATAATGTAATCAATCCGAAGCTGACATCTAGACTTCAGTAACACTTTCTCTAGACGAATTAAATACTTTTTAAAATAAACAGAACATCTATTCAAACACAGGTATGCACAAGCAATAAAATATATCGGATTAAAAGGACAAAGCTTATTACTTCACTGTGGAATAAATACCCGTGTTTGAAACAGACGCCCCGCGTAATTATTTTAAACATTGTGTATTACAGCTATCGTTCCGCGTACTTGAGAAAGTGATTTTCTAAACGTAGCTTAGATGTGGCACAAGGCCGAAAGTATGGGACACCCAGTGAGGATTGAACTCACTATTTAGTAGTAATTGTTCTAGCGATACAAGCTTGCTAACCATTACACCGCCCCGAGGTGCCCTGCGCACTTGAGAAATATTAAATCAGATAGGCCCTACGACGTGCTTTTTTTAAAGGGAAACTAGAGCCTTGTTGATTTTTTTGCCGTTTGTGAGTTAATGCAGACCGGATCAAACGTTGTTTTTCTTAAGTATTCACAAGTATGCAGGCTGTAATACAGACTTTGAAATGAAAACGGTGCTTCTATTTCAAATACGACTATTCACTAAAAGTAACTTTTATAGTAATATAGAGGTATCCATAAGGTTTGTGTTCACTTTAAAAAATTCATAACTTTATTTGTATTTGCGATAGAAATAATTTGTAAAAAGGATTAGAAAGAAGTAAATTTATATTTTTAAGGTTTTATTGAAATTTTATTTAAGTTTCCACATGTCCTCCATCATTAGCAATACAAAGGGTAATACGATTTTTCAGTTCACGGAAAATATTTGCCAACTGATTTACAGTAATGCCTGAAATCATATTAATTATTTTAGTATACTTAAAAGTAAGTACATTAAACTTTATAACATTTTTTTACAGATTATTTCTATCGGAAATGCAAATAAAGTTATAATTTTTTAAAGTGCACACAAACTTTATGTACACTCTGTACATGTGTGTGTGTGTGTGTGTGTTTGTGTATGTGCGCTTGCGTGTCTGTGTGTGTGTGTAGAAAAAGAGGGAAATGAACATCGATTTATATACAGTGAGATAATAATGAAAATTGATGCCTAGCGAGATATGAAAGAACTTAGCTAATTAGAATATTAGATTAACTTTATGTTGAATAATGAACTATCAGTGAACTATTAATAAAGTCATAAATAGACATTTTTAATAGATATAGTCACATAGTTACCAAAAATAGTACATCTAAAAGGAAAGTTAAAATGAACATATTTGTGGGGCAAATTCATTGGAGTAGAGAGAAATTTTTAAAAAAATTAGTTCAATGATATTTTTTGAAAAAAAAAAGGTTTTCTTTTCATATTTTAGTTGAAGTGTGTACACGGGCAAATCACCGATTTGTTAAGCTAAAAATGTAGAAACTTTGAGAGGAATTGGCACGGTTCCTGTTACCAAATCTCCTGTTGACGCATCTAGCTGTGAGGAATGAGTCTCCTGATAATCCTTGCATTGTGTCGTGGTTGCTTCGCAATTCAACGCTGTCGATTTCGAGCGAAAGCTGTATTCATGACAGTTCATTTTCAGCTTTTCGTTAGATCATAAAGGTGGCAACACGCTTAAGATGCACACCTGTTTTCGCTGAGCTTATAGCTCTAAGACATTCTAAACACAACAAGGACAAACAACAAAGTAAGTATTCATAATAATAATAATAATAATAATAATAATGAAGAGAGGTGGCGGGGAGAGGCGACAATGAATGAGAGGAGCAGAAGTAAAGAAATAATTATATTTGCTGCCAAGCCTAAGCCAATGACAAAACAAAATACGCAAGGAAAATAGCAAACAACAAAGAAAAACAGAAACGTTTACATCAATAACGACAGAAAAAAACAATATTATAGTCCCAGTAAATGTTCCTTTAATTCCTGACAAAAAACAACGCACGATTCTTGCTTTTTACAGTATTTCTATACTATGTCTATAGATTATTTTCTTTTCAAATCCAACCTCTCTTCAGAACATAACGACACAGATTCCATTTTTTATCATCTGTGAATTGCCATGGCTTCTTCATAAGGATAGTAGATATGTTTCACATTGTCTTCGCCAGGGTTTCGAATTCAAAGTAGTCTTTCTACTGGACTGGCGGTCACCTACATCTAGAAAGATAACGCTTTTTTTTTTTTTTTTTCATCATATCATCCCAAGAAGGAAAGTAATGAATCTCGAACACCGGACATTACATGGAGTGAAAGTGAAAGTGAAAGTGAAAAAGAAGACTGAGAATAGAGAGGATTGAAGACAGGACAAAAGATGAATGATGTCCAAGAAGATAGAAGATGGCGTTTGGCGTTGCATTTAAATGTTTGAATAGTGCGGTTATCACGGAAGCAAGGAAACGGAAGGAAATTACACAGGTGATAAGTGCGAGAAAAGAAACTGTTGCTGTAGAACAGAAAAAGGGTGTGACCTAGATGCCAATCTAATAGCACGCTGCATTCCTATATTCGGTGTACCAAGGAAAAAAGTTCATCAGATCAGTTGCCATGAACAAACTTGTAGAAAAGTCAAAGGGAAGCCAGGTCAACGCGGTGAGAAAGTGACTGAATTCGAGATATTTGATCAGGATTGATTACATTACAGATCCTTCTTTTGATTTTGTCAAGAATCTTTAGCTGTACAGCAAGAACACAAAATCAAATATGTCAACAGTGTTCAATGAATGGATCAATGGTAGATTTGTAAATGTGCAAGATGGATACTGATGTGAAAAATCTTTGTCATGACAGAGTGACCCAACCTTCCTTGATGCAGCTATTGATTCAGTATAGAATTTCGACTTCATGTCAGTGGAAATCATGAGTCCAAGAAGACACAGTGCGTTGCTCTCTTAGAATCTACGCCTACTTATAACCCATAGTTTGTGTGTGAAATAAATTTGATTGATTCATATTTTTGACGGCTTATCGACGCCCCGCACATTATTTAAAGGTAGGAAATATTTTTAGGTCGTAAGAAATTTTTGGAGATGATAATGGTTTAGGGATACAAGTCTTGCTAGTTAATCCATAGCTGAGGGGAGAAGAGGTGTATTCATATATTTCTCAAGAGTATTTGTGCATAAGTGAATATAACGAACACTACAGCAATTGGAACTCAGCTCGCCGATTAACAATTCCGAGCCATTATCCATTACGCCACCTGCATATCCATGCTGTATTCCTGGTATTCCCAAGCGGTCTCCAATCCAGGCTCAACGTTGCTTAACGTCGGTGATCAGATGGGAACTGGTGTTTCAACATGATATGGCCATTTGCCGGGTGAAATATAGATGTTTTTTAAATGGTATTTTTGCAAAAGAGAACGCCACGAGGTTTACGTTCGTCTTGCTCTTAATGCCACGCCCATTCAGAACCATAGGTTTTCAGAAATTTATTTTGATTATCTGTGGATCACCTGACTGCTTGGTAAAGGTAACAGAGTGGCTTCTCGTTACTCATGATAATTCATGCATTCAGTGTAGTCTTCTTAAAAAATAACTTGATTGCGAAGATAGGGGTTCTTCCTTTTCCAAGGGCATTTTCGTGAAAGTTAACGCAACGGACAAGGCCAGAATTTGAACTCAGATTTCCCTTTACACGACAATAATTGTTAATTTAATCACATAAAATATTACTCAAAAAATTATTGACAAACGAATAAATTTGTGCAACATACCAGATAAGTGTTCCGTGAATAGTCACCATATTTGGTCTTGTCAATATTCAATAAATAATGGCGATCAGCATTTCAATATTGATAACACTATAAATTAGTAATTAATTATTATAATAGTTTGCATGTATATGTGTTAACCCTGCCGACTCCACCCCGGGGTATAGGGACACAGCCACACGACACTAAAGTCAGAGCCTCATCACGTTAAGCATTGTCGATGTAATTCCCGACGTACACTGTTTTTTAAGGGGTGATGTTGCTAACCCCAGACATGACAGGTTTTTGATTCAGATGTGTGTTTCTCTTAGACTGGATGCCAAGCAAACTAGAGGGACCTGTCTATAAATCCTTTGTAGAGATGAATTCATATATTTCCACGGGTATCTGTGCGAAATCGGTGACAATAGGCCCGGCTGGATTTTGAACTCGACACGCTGAACCTATTTTCAGCACCGATCACCGCTACGCTATACACAATTTTTATTAAAAGGGAAATACTTATTAAAAGAAAGGATTTAGAGAAGGGAGCGATGTTTTTCATTCTATCGGAAGCAAACTTATCACAGAAAATAAGAAATGTATGTCGAACTGAACAAATCAAATATTGAATATAGGCTGGTTAATAACCCAGAACGACTAACATCAAGCAAGATAACATCAGGTAAATGACTAATAGGTTCATTTTACATTGCAAGTAAAACAATATAGATAAATCATTTACATTAATTACAATTGTCTTCATCTCTGTTGTTTCGACCGTTGTGCAATCCGGCCTTCATCAGAAGCATGTCGATCAGCGTAACCAAAAGGGAAATTCGAACGGAACCCTTTATTTAATCGAAAGGAGTAGATTCCTGGACCGGGCAGTGTGTCGTTGGACTCAGTGGAAAACGGGACAAGGAATGAGAACTAGATGACATATTACTAGACTTTGGCAGTGGAATGAAAACAATCTACTAATGTAGAATTTAATGGCCTTGACGATTTGCACTCATAGGATGATTTGAAAGTAAAAGAAGAAACTTTTAAATAGATGAGCCGTGACGATTACTCTTTTGGGGAGAAAAATCCACCCTAAACAAATTTATTCCTTCCATCCCTGTCATTAAATATTCAAATGAAAGAATTCTCGCAACCTAAATTTATTTCCTGAATATTTAATAAAAGAAACAGTTGGAAGAAGCATGTATCGAGCAAACCTTTCTCCAAAAACTGTCCGTCTATTTGAAACACCATGGTGCTTATTGGTGAGTGAATAGATTCCAAAACAAGAACAAAAAAAATGCTAATTTTATCAGAAGTTAATTAAAGCAACAAAAAAAAGGAAGTTGGTGAGAACCACGTACTTAAATAGTATACATCTAAAAGAAAAATAAAACTGCCAACACATCAATATTACTACTACTATTTCAACTTCCACGAAAAACGAATTACTGTGAAAGCGTGTAAAATATCGAGACGCTTCGTTGCACAAAAGAAAATAACTTCAATAATGACAAATATACTAAGAATGTCATCTAAAATAATAGCAGTACGCTATAACCATATCATCCCTCCATCTTGCAACCTTATTAAGAACGATACTAATAGTAACAATACCGGCAGCATGAGGATGCAAATGCAGGCGTCAAAGGTACGCTTTACCTGAAGGTGTGCTGTCAGCATCGAAGCGGGCACGACATTTTAATTAAAAATACGGAAACAATCGTAGAGTCAGCTGCTTACTGTCACCTGAGGACAGGAAATTGAAGTGGTGATAGTGTATAGGATATTTAGCGCCTTCCCACTGCTTCGTTTCCACCTCAAAACTCCATCAATAACAGCAGTAATAATTGACATGACTCTTTTCTCATTATTTTCCCGCTTTCCAATAAAACATCCTTATAATCAATATCATTAATATCTATCTATCTATCTATCTATCTATCTATCTATCTATGTTTCTCTTCTATATATCTATCTATCTATGTATCTATGTTTCTTTCTATATCTATCTATCATTCTGTTTCTTTCTATGTTTCTTTCTATCTACGTTTCTTTCTATCTATGTTTCTTTCTATTTTATTTCTATCTATTTCTTTCTATTCTATCTATCTATCTATCTATGTTTCTTTCTATATGTTTCTATTCTATTCTATTCTATCTATCTATCTATCTATCTATCTATCTATCTATCTTGTTTCGTTCATTTTCTATCTATCTGCCTACTTATCTATCTACATACCTACCCACCTATCTATCTATTTATCTATCGTTATATACACACAAAAAGAAATACGCACACACACACACACATATATATATATATATATATATATATATATATATATATATATATATATATATATATATATATATATGGTTGTATTGATGTGAGTTTGTGATCCTGGGTTTCACGCTTTTGCCATCCTCAAACTCTGACGATCGTAAAAGCGTGAAATCCAGGGCCACAAACTCACATCAATCCAACCAAATATGTTAGCTCTATCTCTGATATTGAGCGCTTTCTAATAAGTACCGCGCATACAATATATAAATAATAATATATACAATATCTTACATATATATATACTTCACGCACACACACACACACATATAATAGGTTTACAGTTTAATTAAACGAAAAAATTTGTAGTCCCAACGATTGATTTATTTTTATAGAAATATTTCGACTAGCAATTGCCAGTCTTAGTCACTCCTTAATTTGAGTAAAAACAGTGCAAAGAAGCTCGAAACGCTTCAGAATTCAAATGAAGGAAAACAAACCGAGTTGATGGCGTTTACCACGTAATAGCAAGTTGAGGCGTAAAAAAAATATTTCCATAAAAATAAATCATTCGTTGGAACTACTTTTAATTATGCAACTACCAACGGGGTCAAGCATCCTAACTTAGATTTACAGTTGTTTCACTATGATTCACGTTCCATCAGCTCAGCTCAGAACTACAGCTAACTTCGCCGAGCTGTTTTTTCGGCAAGATGGAGCACCTCCCCGTTATGCATTGGCAGTAAGGGACTAACTTAAGCAAACCTTTCCACAGCGTTGCGCTGGAAGAAGGAGCAGCATTGAATGGCTACCATGTTCACCTGACCTAACATCATTGGCTTTATCTGTGTGTGTGTGTGTAGTAAAGAACAAGGTTTATGAGAGAAATCCTCACGCAGTAGTCGAAATGAAAGTGTACATCTCATAATTATTTATTGCAATTTATATATATATATATTCGAATTTGTGCCGTGTCTTGTGTCATATTGTTCTGTAGAGTTTCGAGGAATGTTGCAATGTTGAAGGGAGATATTTTGAGCACTTGGGAGATTAAACCGTGCTAAAAATTGTCAAAAAAAGGTGTTAAACAAATGTACATAGACACCTTTGATAACATTTGATTGTAACAAGTAAATATAAATGTTATGAAAATATCCAATGAGTGCACAGGATCGACTCGTCAATGACGTTATGACTTGGGGTCATGACAAGGATCGGTTCTTGCAACATCATACTTGTTCACCCAAGAGACCCTACCGAAACTGTACTATTCCGACAGGCGATCCCGAGGCAAAAAAAAAAGCGCCAAGCACGCAACAAATGGATACATTAATAACTGCCACTGCAATGGAAGTGTATCCAATGTAATAAAATATTTAAAAACATGTAAAGTGCGTACTAAGCGTAAGCTTACTTCTGGCCCACCTTGTATATATGTATGCATATTTGTATGTATTAGGTAAATTTACTATTCATTAATTATTCATATGAAATACGTTTGACTAAAAAGAACTGATAAGGTCTGTCCACCATTTGCTTGTTGTATTTTACAATTTTTGAAGGAGGGGTTTTGTATTGTGATCAAAATTATACCCGAACTATCCGATGTTCATGAGTTGTTCTGTTGAACTATTTTCGACCGTCTCGATCATTTTCAAGAACTAATGTGGTGCTTGTATGGTAGACTGAATTTCTTTGTCTACATCCTTGAATTTTTTGGAAAGCTAAAATGTTCATTTTATGAGTAATTGGTCTTGTGAAAGAGGCTGCTCAAGATAGAATACTATTTTTTATATGTTATATAGGAATAAAGTGTCGCTGCCGACACTTGTGTTTGAACATAGATCGCCAGTGAGCAAACACGGGAGATCCCATTATTGAATTAAGTACATCACACGACCAAAGAGAAAACGCATAAGTAGGAAGTCGTGTGACGTCTAACTGATCGCCATTTCTAGTTTATCCTCTATTACGATTCGGATCGCTGTTTCTACTCTGTCCTCTGTTACTATACGGACCGCTATTCCCTACTCTATTCCCTACTCTATTCCCTACTCTATTCCTCTATTTAGATCACTATACGCTGGTTACTATTCGTGCAAGTATTATTGAGCAAGAACTATTAATGCGAGTGATATTCGAAGATGTATGACACTAGAAGTATTCAACGGCGTACTGCAGTTGTTATCTGCGATTACAAAGTCTTTACTACAACGAACATAGCCGTGTAAGCCGTAAGAGTGTTCTACAAGCCTGAAACGAAACACTTATCATAGAACGCACGGACACATCTAGTAATTCCAACTGTATAATGATGAAACATAGCTTCG